ACTCGCCTGCTAAGATTCTGGAAGCTTCATGCCTCGATGGAAAGTCAAAGAGAAACAAGTTGTGTTTCAAAGCTGATATTGTTGGTGAACCACTTTAGTTGCTTTGGGTGCCCTGTCCTGCCATTGTGGAATCTTTGCAGCATCCATAAAGGATTTGGTGTCTTGGACATAAAGATTGAATTTTGAGCTGGTACCATTGCCTAAGAATCGGAAGATTTTGTGTGCTATATCTCCCCATCCCCAGTTGAAGCCTCCTTCTGGAATAAACTCACACTTGGAGAACTTAGCATATTGCTTTTGTTCCCGCAACGTCTGAAGCACCACTCTCATATGATGCTCGTGCTCCTCCTTACTGCGCGAGTAGATCAAAATATCATCAATGAAGACAATGACAAATAAATTAATAAATGACCTGAATACCTTGTTCATCAAATCCATAAATGCTGACGGGGAGTTAGTCAAACCAAAGGACATTACCAGAAACTCATAATGGCCATATCTAGTCCGGAAAGCAGTCTTCAGAACATTCGAATCCCGAATCTTCAACTGATGGTACCTCGATCTCAAGTCGATCTTTGAGAACACTCTGGCACCCTGCAACTGGTCAAACAAATTATCAATACACGGCAACAGGTACTTGTTCTAAATGGTAACTTTGTTCAATTGGCGATAGTCAATATATATCTACATAGTCCCATCTTTCTTCTTCACAAATAACATAGGTGCACCACAAGGCAATACATTTGATAGGTGTAAACTTGTACTTTCCTCCCCCATCTCTTGCATCGATTTCCTTGCGCCTGTGAGGTTTGTTTTAGAGCGTCACATACCCATCGCAAATTTTCTTCATCTATTTTGATGTAGCTTGAGAAACTCCTGCCGCGTTCTATTAAAGAGAACCATTTATTACCCTCATCACTGATCTCTAATAACTCAAAGGACTTAACACCGGAAATAAAAAAGGTTCTGTTCACCATGATTAAAGAGGTAATAAAACATCATCGGATTAAATGCTTGCCGAGAAAAGGACAAAAGAAAAAGAGTTTAGAAAGCAGGTCCACTTCCCAAGTCAGAGCAAAAAGTATGTCGCAACTAGATTTATTTAGTCACCATTCCTATCCACCTCTCGTCTTTTAACCTCTTCCATTAGTTCCCACATCAAGGATATGGAACTCTTGAAATGGGCTAAGTTGCATATCTAATCGCCACATCAAGAAATTCATAAATGTTGAGATTAAAGTTGGCGAGAAAGTACTGACTACACTGATTAGGGTGAATCAACATTTATCCCCGATTTGAATTTGTTGCTCACATTAGCTTAGAAACCCGTTCCGATGCTGATGATGTAACATTTTTACTTGAGCCAAAGAAAAGCTTGGGTAATGAGAGGTTATACGATCCAATCAGACGGTGGCGTGTAGGCTCGACACATGTTGCATTATTTTTTATGAAGTAAAGTAATTCATTACTGGGCATCAAGCAGATGCAAAGCAATACAAAAAAGTAAATTGGCTCGACGCGTGTTTCATTCAAAAGATTCAAATTCTGAATCTTTTGAGTTTCATGCCATAGCCCATAATTCATTCCATACTTATTCCATGGGCTTGGCTTTAAATTTGGCCCAGCTCTCCAGTTAATTCTTCAATTCCTCTCTCATGTTGCTCTCAATTCTCATGACATGGCCCACTGGGATACATCAAAAAGCAGCTCACCAGCCTTTTGACTAGCCATGGGTTGAAAGAGGAGTTTAGAATCACACATTTTAGGGTTCTATACTTCGACAAGTAGCAAGCCTCCAATTCCGTTGTTACTGTTTAGGCCATGTAGAAAAGTTCGGAGAGTGATTAAAGACTGTTGCGAACAAAGCTCCTGATATAAGTGGTTATTCAATGGGTTTCTATTGTAAATCTTGGTCAGTGGTTGAATCGGAACCAATTCTTGCTATAAATCACTTGCATATGGTTGAGCATCTTGGAAGGAGTTTCAATGTATCCACGGGTTGAAAGAGGAGTTTAGAATTAAAAAAAGGAGTTTAGAATCACACATTTTAGGGTTCTATACTTCGACAAGTAGCAAGCCTCCAATTCCGTTGTTACTGTTTAGGCCATGTAGAAGAGTTTTCGAGAGTGATTAAAGACTGTTGCTGTGTTGCAAACAAAGCTCCTGATAACAATGGTTATTCAATGGGTTTCTATTTGAAATCTTGGTCAGTGGTTGAATTGGAACCAATTCTTGTTATAAATCACTTGCATATGCATGAGCATCTTGGAAGGAGTTTCAATGCATCCTATAGTGCTTTGGTTCCTAAGTAAAGCGAGACAAAGGAGCTTGCAAATTACATGCCTATTAGTCTTGTTGGTTGTTCCCGTGAGATGTTTCTATGTGATCCGCTTAAAGCTGCTTACGGAAGGGTTGAAAGGTGTGATTGGCAAATTGGTCGTAGATTCCTTATATTTTTTCAGTAAAAGTAACTGATACAACCATTCTTATAAATGAATGGCTAGACACTGAAAATGACAAACCTGGTGTCCCTCAAGTTCGCTAGATTCGCTCCTATGTAATCATCATCTTTGAGCTTTCCTGGCCTTACATTTGTCTAGTATAGATACCCGAAGTGATTAGCTACTACTTTTTCATGCTCGATGCTTAACTTCTTATTGTCCGTCTCACGGACTAGTGTTGCCAAAGGCGCGCTTAAGCCCTATAGCGAGGCTCAAAACATATTGAGTGTTTTGCCTCGCTTAGCAGGCGCTTCAGTGTTGTCATCACGGCTCTAAGGCATACTTTTCTTTGCCAATGAGCGTAATCCTGAAGGGGTAAACCTAAAAATTAATATTTCACTTTATTGTAAAAAAAAATTCAATTTCTTTATCCATATATTTGTTATTCATGCTTATAATTATTAGTCTTGGACTACACATACATTTTTGTACTTTTTCCCACTTGCGCTTTTCTTCGTTAAAGCCCATTGTTTATTTGCGCTTTGTGCTTAAAGCCCTGATGTACCTTAGTGCGCACCTCAACTAATGGTAGGAAGTAGCAGGTAGCCCGTGGAATTAGTCGAGGTGTGCACAAGCTGGCCTGGACACCAAGGTTATTAAAAAAAAGAGTTCACCTCTAGCGTTGTGTCACACACGCCTCCATAACTTAACCCCAAAAAATACTTTGCAGCAAGTGGAAGAACTTTAGTCCTTGACCCAATTTTGGAGTGAGATAATATGTTACTTTCCTCATCTTTATAAGAAAAATATCACTTTCCTCAAATACATTCACTATTCACATAATTCGGAGATGATCACACATTTATTGAGAGTTTGAGACCAATCCTGCAAAGCAAATTAGGGTATCTTGTTTCCATTATACCTCAATTTGCAGTGTCGTTATAGGTTCAGTTGAATGTAGATGAATCCCTTTTCGTCTCGTTTAGGTGGTGCTTTAGTTCTACCACCAAGGTTATAAACATGTGCCTCGTCACCCATGAGCTCTGTTTTTAAGCAGGCATTTGGCAAACTGATATACTCCTATTTAACAAAATATAGTGAATGATAGTAGGAATAAGTACTTCACTACTATAAGAAAACTATTCATAGCTTCTGTCAATACTTTTGTCCAAGTAATTACATATATATATTTTTGGTTTTTCTTTGTTGGCCCATTTCTTGACTATACCCTATGCTTTGATTATATTTTGCTCTTGAAGTCCCAGCAGACTTTGGTGCTTTTCTATGCTTTTCGCCTTTGGAAACTCTGTCAACTTGTGATTTTGTTCTTTCTTTGGTCTTGTTCAGAATCAGAGGCATGTTGGGTTTCTTGTGGTTACGACCCACGAGAGAGATCTCATTATTTGCAACATCTCTGTGAAAGTATTTTATTTTCTAAATTTCATTGTTCGCATTTCACTTTTTGTTTATAATTTTCACACACACATTCTCTATCTGTCTTCATCTGTTCTTCTTTGGATTTCTCTTATTCGAACTCTCTCTTTATGAACACACATGGAACTGTTTTGCAGTGGCTGTCATCATCGGCAGTTTGTATAAAGAAAATTTCGTAAAAACATTAGAAAATCTCTTGGATGCTTTAGAACTGTTTACAGAACTGAGCAGTCTAAATTTTGACATTTTTGTAAGATCCCAATACTTTTGAAACTTTTTGGCTTAATTTTGTTGTGTTAATGGACCGATATGGTCTTCTGCTACTTTTTATAGTTAGATATGATATACATCTTTGTTTGCAATTATAAATTTTACGAGTCATGATTTTTCCGCTAAGTACTATTGCTCTTTTTTAAATACTTAAATATGTGCAGTTCGTAGACTTCGAGCAGATTCCTTTCGACCCCTAAATCCTATCTTATTTGAATAAATAAATTTGTTTCAAAACCTCATAACTATTCTCTATAACTTTGCCTGATGCACTCTTCCATCTTACAGTAATAGTGAAATGGTTCTTAAACTGTCAGTATCATCACTCATAATCTTGTTAGGTAGCTCTGTTCAGTTTGAACATTTTCTATCGTTATTCTTTTGTGGTCATCCGGTATGTCTCCGCCTTTCAGTTGTTCTTGATGATCTTTTGGTTGAGATTAGCTGGAGAAACTTTTGAGATAGGAAGTATGTGAATATATGAAATGGTCTATGTTGCTTTGGATTTCTCTGTGGTATGAATGCAAATTCTTCATTAAGTACTAATGATCTCGGTTGGGTATCTAAAACTTTGATTATTAGCTGACGTTCTTTGTGTGTAGAGTAATGATGTCACTCCATAGAGAAATGAACTTCCCCTGTTGGAACATAAGTTCTGTGATTCACCATCCTCTGCTTTTAGACATGAGATGTTTGTATGAATCCTGTGTTTGTATTTGTAGTTTCATGGATTTTATATCTTTTGGATCTATAGAGACGTTATGTGATGAATTTTTGATGATACATTCTGTAATTTCATACGATGTTCATCAATGTTAGTTACTTTGTTGTGATATGTATATTGTTCTATTGCAGGAAGCTGCGGACTCTAGAGGAGATATTGACCATCGAGATAAAGCCTGGGTGGAAGAAGGGAACCAAGGTAACTTTTCCTGAAAAGGGAAATCAGGAACCTGGTATTATTCCCGCCGATCTGGTTTTCGTTATCGAGGAAAAACCTCATCATGTCTATGCAAGGGATGGGAATGACCTTATTGTCAATCAAGAGATTTCACTTCTTGAAGCTCTCACTGGAAGAATGCTGGAGCTTACGACACTGGATGGGAGAAATCTCATTATCCCATTGACTGACATTGTCAAACCCGGGCATGAGGTAGTTGTCCCAAATGAAGGGATGCCAATTTCAAAAGATCCTCGGAGAAAAGGAAATCTGAGAATCAAGATGGATGTTAAGTATCCAACAAGGCTCACAGAAGCACAGAAATCGGATCTCAGGAGAGTTCTTGGAGGATCTTCATGAGTCTTTTGGTTCTGATTGCCTGGGGTGACCATATTGAACACAGGTATTCAGATTGCCAGGGGGTGACCGTATGAACACAGGTATTCAGATTGCCAGGGGGTGACTGTATGAACACAGGTAGATAGTGCAGATGCTGGATGTAAATATAGGACATGCTTGAAATGGAACTGTGAATACTAGCAAGGTCTAATAGTTTGAATATTTAGGGCAAAATGGAATTTTTTTGGACTTTGGGTGGTGGAAGGATTGGTTTTTCATTGGTTCGGACCTGCCCCTTCATATCATTATTTGCTCGAAAGAATATAGATGACGTTAATGCAAGCTCTTTTGTTCTGTTGCTTGTGATTTTAGGTCTGATCAAGAAGCAAATGCACTAGGATCTTGCATTTATTGGATTCAACGCTGATTACATCCGTTATATTTTGACATTGAGCAACAATTCTACTTTTCTCCTTTAGAAAATTCTTAAAGTATTAACGAAGGGCAAATGTGCTCAATTTCGTATAGTACAAGGGCATATTTGGACCGCGAAAGTGGACAGATAACTGGTTAAGAGTTGGTTCACTTTTTTTCTTTGGAGTTACTTCACATATTACAGAAAGCTGAACTATATTATCGCTATATCTTTGGACGTACACGGAAAGTGGTAAACTATTTAGGCAACGTGGAAGTTTGGAAGGGTTTTATTCAAAATGAGGCAAGTTATCCTCTTTTTTGCTATATGAAGTAACCTGGAATAGCTAATAAGGCAAGTTAATGGTTTTTGCTACATGTGTGTGTGTGCGTGAGTGTTTATTTGACTCGACTTCAAAACTAAAAATTTCTTATTTTATACCCAGTCATGATTTGCATTATCGCACAAGTGTATTGAATGTAGCAGGACACTCTGTATTCATTGATTTACAATCTTGAATCTTTCACTAGATCGATAAGACAGACTTATGCCTGTTTAGCTCACTTTGTTAGTCCATCATTTACAAGTATTATTGATTATATTCTACCTAGAACGAGATCATCCTAGTTTGTGGGTCGTTTGGAAAGTAGAACCACTCATTCGAGTTATATATGAAGCAATAAATGATTGAATAGTTGTAGGCTAGCTCAGCTCTAATAAATTGTAGACATACTGTTGAGAAATTAAAAGCAATACCATGTGTTTCTGATTCCAAGCAATAATTTCAATCTCCATGTTCCATAGCTGTGAGTGGCCTCCAATCCATGTGGATATATCCTCCAACCCAAACACCCCATTCTTTTCTCTCCCCATTATTGGCGGATCCATAATTTTAATCTAATGGATGCTCGACTGCCTTTAATTTTGGTAAACACAAAATATAAAACTTAAAACGAGAAAATTTTAATTAATATTATCAGTACAAAAGAAACAAAAGGTTATTTTTGGACAATGAAAGCATACTTCATCAATCGTGACACCCAAAATTTCTTCATATGTTTATTTTTTAATATTTTGACATCTCTTAGTAAAATTTCTGACTCTGTTACTGGTCACACCCACTTTATTGAAAATAACCCTCATGTGCATTCGCTTAGAAAATAATTACTCATTCTTTTATGAATCATAAAATTACAAATTCTATGATACCCAAGGAAGGAAAATAAATAGTGCATTTTCAGTTTAGAATAAGTTTAATTGCAAATTTTAAGAATCAAAATCATAGTGCAAGATTAGTTTTAATGAGCAAAATTTTATGTCTTTATATCCAAAAAAAGAAGAAGAGAAGTTTTAACATCGACGATATAGTTCCTCTTCAAATCTTTGACTGAATTGTTCATTTAAATATAATCATTTCACTTATTAAGTATTAACCCCCCACCCCTTACCAACCTTTTCCCCAAAAAAGAAGAAAGGATAGTGAATAAAAGTGCTTCGGTCGAGTTTGAATTGCCTGACATAGATCTAAGAGTGACCTTAACCCTCTCTCAAAACCAAAGCACCCAGCCCCAAGTTTTGCTTGTGGGTGCTCATTGTCATTATATAGCAAATTTCCTAGAATTTCATGTAAAATGGAGTATATAATTTCGGACTCCTAGACAATGGGTGCTTCGGCACCCACTGGGTTAGGTTGATCGTAGTTTTCTTTTCAGAAGAGTTTAAGTTATATATATATATGCACTAATTTTACTTTTTCTTCATTACGAATCCATATGCGTTATATTACTCGTATAAATTTTAGATTGTTTCTTAATTAAGTGATAAAGCTTTACATAAACATTTTGATATACTTGAATTCTTTCCTAGTTGAAAATGTAGGAGCTTTAGATTCTTTGAGCTCTGCATGTGATTTATCATTTATCCGCCGAATAATGGGTCACTAAGTAACAAGTGAATAAAAAGAGCTGGCCATATATCTCGAGAGATTCATATATACGATAAAAGTGACAAAGCATAGTCCACTTGCATGATTGAATTGAAATGCTTTGTAGTCTGTTCACAGTCCACAGATGATATGAAAGTCAGCCATCACTATTCACTAATTAATTAAGACCAACAATTAAGTAACTTGATGGTCTGCAGAATGATTCATTCCACTCAAAATCAAAAGATGAAAACTGCTAGTGCTAGGCATCTCAATTCTATCTCAACTACTGTCTGAGTGTAAACATCAAGAATAAAAACAAATTTTTGTTACTTGTAAAAAACTTAGAGAAAGTTCCAATCAAGAAACAGTTAAGTTAATCTTTTTGACCATATATGTTATTGAGGATTCTCCTATAGTATAACATATGGGGGATTCATAATTGACGTATGAGGTGTTACGGTTTAGTACGGATGGTACCTTTGTTTTGTGGAATGGGACAACGTCATGTGATGTGGTTTTGAAGTTTGGTGTTTGAATTATGGCCTTTGGTTATGGCAAAAAGTCAGCCAAATAGGTTTGTCAATTGATTAGGTACATGTGCCACATCACATGTCCTATATCTTCTTTGTAGTCTTTTTTTTTCTTTTTTTCGTTGAAACCCGATTAAATTTGGATTTGTACGAGAAATCACACGTTGGGAGGTAAAATGCTTTCTTAGAAAAGACGATTTCATACTTAAAGTTTAAACTTGAGAACTCTAGTTACGTAAAGAATACTTGTCACTCTACCACAACCACTGTTAGCCTTCTTTCTTGCCTTTCCTTTCATCTTACAGTCCATATCCCATTCTTTCACACAAAAATTTGGTCAGAGGCCCTCCTTTTTTATCTTCTTTTTTGGATATTTAAGTTTTGGCTATCCTGGGGTACTCTTGAATTTAATTCACTTTCCTTTCCAATCCTTTTCTTTTATCTAATTTCCTTCCTGTCCTGTACCCACTTCATTAACTACACAAAGAAAAAAGAAAAAAAAGCATATTAAAAGTGGTTGACGGTTTGACATTGATCCCCATGGTACGATGGAGCAATCTATCATTCACAATAGTAGGGAGAAGAACTATTGTCGGACAATCTCTGACTCATACGCTAACTATCGAGATTGAGTTGAACTCAAAGTTAATTTACTTTTTGTGTGGCGGTCGACGGTGAAGGAGATGTGTTAAGTGTCTCACGTTGATTAAAGAAGAGACGTTCTCTCCTTATATGATTTTGAATAATCCTATTTCATGATATAGCTTTTAAAATCACGGTCCATAAAGCTTAAGGTTTCATCTTCTTAACACAAGTTGACTTATCCGTTGGAAGGGATAATATATGTGGTCTTGACATAGCAATTTATCAATCACAAAAGAATAAGGGAATATGCAGGATATTATACGTATCTACTATGTCTTAAAATCCTAAATGTCTTTCTGCTTATTTGACTTCTGATTCCTCGCAGATGTGTGCAAGTGAATGTAAAAATCGAGGGGCACTAAAGTAATACGACTCTAATGCTAAGCGTATATATATTAAATCCCTTCGGCTTCTTTGTGTATTTAATTTTTTATATTTTGACACCCCTTAGTGAAAATTTTGAATCCATCATTGTCAATCGTATAGCCGGAGAACATTTCTGCACATTACAGGTTCTTAACGTTTCTCTCTTAAGCATCTCTGAATTCAAATTAAAGTAATTTAATTAAAAAAAAACACTTGGTGTTGGTCTCAAAACTTCAGTGTAATTATTGTAGTTATCTACTATGTATCGCAATTCGCATCTATAGTATAGGATAGGAAAAAAGACAAAGGCGAGGCCAAGTGGATGAGATCACTGTGTATCAAAGAGGAAATCCAAATCTCATGTAAAGAAGAATCTAATGTATCAGTGTCTCAGCATCAAGCTCTGTAATTATTGGCAATTTTTTTTTTGAGTTGCTTTTCGTGATAATGCATGGTGACAGATATTCCAATAATACTTTAATCATTTTATTATGGCAGCTGAGCTAACTGTTCCTTTGAGTCGTATATTGTTAAAGAGTTTTTACTTACATGCATCGAGGGTATAAGAATTTTCTTACACTATTCGGTTGCTTTTTTCAATTGTAACACTATTCGATCTGTAATTCCTATGTGAAATTACTTGTAATTGACTTTTTAATTGATCAGATAGTCTAGAAAAACATTTCAACTTATATTGAAAACCAACGCTATATATTTTCTTTTTATCTTTTTAACCCCATTTAGCGTACCAACTTAACCTTCTTTTCTATTCACTTTTGGAACTCAAAGAGATGTACAATATTTCACGTAAGCTCACAAAAGACTTGTCAAAAATAAAACCATGTGATGTCGTTTTCTTGAGAAATTTACCCAATTAAGGTTGATGCTTCAAATTGTATAACCATGTTGTTTGAGAATGGTTAAGAAAGAAAACTGTGCGGAAAAAAAAAAAGCTCTTAAATACCTACTTATTAGCAAGGGCGGATCTATATAGTGGTGGTAATGAGTTCATGTGAACTCAATTGATTTTGTATATTTTTGTATATGTATTAAAAAAATCCATTAAGTATTTAAAATATTTTATTGTAAACCTAGTTATTATTTCATGTATCAATTTAAAATTACTATAAGAACCCATGAACATATTAAATTCTAGATCCCTAACTCAATTTGCATGGACTAAAATATGGACCTAACTAACATCATAGAAAGTACATCAAATTAGTTTTTCTTTTTGGAAGTTTTCTTGCGGTTGAAAATCCTTAGTTCTGTCCGGTCCTACCCCCACCCAACTTTAATTTAGTTTCTAAATCCCTTGAAAAAATCAAACAATAAATATTTTACCCCACTTGGTCCTATATTAACTTAAAATTCTAATTATTTCCAATGTGTCTAAGCTTTGATTTCAAATATAAACACGACATACTGAAATTCAACAATTTTATACCTTCAATACAGTTTACTACTTCCGAAATAAAAATGAAATAGTTTACTCTTCTTTATGAAATGTGATTAGCATATCAAAATATTTTACTCATCCAGTGTATAATTATTTTGATTAGATAAAAAGTATTACTGGCTTTGGTCATTAAGAGAGTTACATCAGTATTTTTATATGATAATGATTTAATTACCATAATAACCAAATATCTATATTAAGAAAATTTATATACTAACATTGTTTCTGCTCAACTCTTTTTCACAATTTGTTTACTCTCGGTTAATTTGAATAGGGCAAA